AATGTTGAATCAAACCATAATTCCTCTTAACACTTGTGATGTTGCAGAATTGATTGAAGCAAATTTTATCAAAAGATTTATCCAAAAATTCTCTAAACATTCTCAACATTGCCTATAAAGGCAGCTTTAGACACAAACAAATGCTAACATTAATTTAAAGTTTAAATAAAAAGTTTTAAACGATGCAAAAAGGTTAGACAACTTTGGCAAAAACAAAAGAAATTGGGCCAACCATCCATCGCTGGCTATTGCAGTGTCGGTGTGTAATTTAGGGTGTGTTTGACTCAGCTTTTAAAATCGTGTTTTTAATTCAAACTATGTTTTTATGCATTTGTTCCGTGTGTTTGACTTGGTCAGTCGCTAACGATGTTATTGACTACTGTTCATTTGAGACGGCGGAATGGTTCCTGCATTTTTGCCACTCGCTAATAACGTTCACTCGTTCTACACCTGGTTCAATCGTGCCCTTGCTCACTAAAGATCGCTCCTGATTTCATCTACGCCTTCTCCTTCTCTCGAGCTAACAAACCCTAGCGATCCTGATACTCATATCGCTTTCTCCACTCGTCCGGTAACTTCCACGCTGTTCTTTTCATCTCGTCATTATGCTATCTAATATCCTTCTACCCTATGTCACTTCTATGCCATTCTTCTTCTCTCTCATTTAACTTCTTTATGCCATCATGTTCTCTGCCCTCTATGACATGCATTTGAGCCTTCTTGTGGTGTTGTAATGTGGGGATCTATTTTGATATTTACTAATTTATGGAAAGTGGAAGGAGCTATTTGGTGTTTTTTATCTTGCACTATATGTGGATCGGGAGAGAAAGATGAATTGATATTTATTTATCTATAGTTTGATTCTTGAATATTTTTATGCATGATACTCAAATCGAAAGACGTGTATACAGATCTCTTTAATTATGATGCTTTCGTAGCTATAACACTTGAACCAATGGGTTTTTCTGGTTTTCTAATAACAGTGGTTATAAATCTTTTTTTTTTTTTTGGAAAGAAAGAAGCTATGATGAATCTTTCATATGCACACATATGTTTCATTAGCCTAAGTTCGAATGATTTATATAATAATGATCAGGTGCAAAGGTTCTGGTTTGGTTATTACCTTATTGTCATTCACAGTTTACATTAACTACGATGGGATGGATTATTTTGTTATGCAAAAGTGTTATTCACAGTTTGATTAGTACTTTATGGAAGTTTGCTTAGATGAATTATTTTGTTGGTTAACATAAAGAGCTGATGCACTAATTTGACGGATGGAAAAAATCCCATGGTTTGATGTTTTTTTTGTTGAGAATAAATTGCTTGATATTTTCTTGGAGGTGATCGATCCTCTCAGGTGCTATTTTTATCTCTGCAAGAAAAAAAAATACGGAAGAGATGTTGATTTTTGGCGAGTATTTTGGTGAGATTGATAAAAGCAGCTGAGAGTTATGTTTTTCTTTTATGATCACTGCATGTGCCAAAATGTGATCCTTATGTTTGTATGGATATTGCTTGAACATGTGCTTCTAATTCATCAATTTGCTCTCTTTATGGAATTATGCCTTTAAAATTACAAATGGACAATAAAAGAGATGGTGTGTCGTCTGCTATATAGGATCAAGAAACAATGATATTTTTTGTGATATTTTTATGAAAGAGATTGGGTTAGAAAAAAGGCCAACCACACATTTCAACAAAGAAGGTTGGCATAAGATTACAAAAATTTTCAAAACAAAACCAGAAAAGTGTATGACCAAACCCAATTAAAGAATAAATGGGACCAAATAAAGAAGAACTGAAAATTTTGGAAAGAGCTCAAAAGTGGATATACAGGACTTGGTTGAAATCCAACCAAAAACACTATAGATGCATCAGCAGAATGGTGGAAAGAGAAATTAGATGTGCAATCTATTTTAAGAATACATTTGTTTTACTTTTTTATTTGCACATACACTTGTTTAACACAAGTCCTTCTGATTATATGAATGACTGGTAGTGGCAAATGCTAAGAAATTTAGGTTTTGTGGAATTGATTCAGAGCTAGAGGAGAAGGTTGATGTTATGTTCGGTGGGGTTGTTGCAACTGATGAACATTATTGGATTCCTCGGGGTTAGCAAGAGCCTAGAGAGAGTCCGATTGATCCTACTTAAAGTTCATCGCATGGCAGGATCGATTTTAGTGAATTTAACAATCCAAGGACACCGACTTCTTTAAAAGCAAGGGCAAGTCGTACTAAAAAAATTGGTTCTGCGTACCAAAAAAGCCAAATATCTGAGCTAGTTACAGTATGTATAAACTTATCTTTTGAGGCTACCATTGCACAACAATCTTCATCTATTTCTTATTTAATAAAATTTAGAACAGATACCGTAAGGCTATTAGGATATTTTGTTATATCTCTACTCATTGAAGCTAATCATTAATGTACATGATTGCACTATCGAAAATAAGCACAAGCATGCAAAAATTGCTAAGGGGCCTGAACATCGATTAGTTTTCTGCGATTGCAATCAATTATGTTTTTTTTTTATGTGTTGTGGCAACCAATCGACTTTTATTAATGATGTGCTAATAATTAGTTTGTAGAAAGTTTTACTTTTTCAATGACATAGTAGCATGTTCTCCATCATCAAGTATGTTCAGCATGTATGAAATAAAATCCATTCAGCGATGTGATACTGATACAGAAACTATTGTCAAACCAAGAAAAGTATATTACGTGCATGATCCAGATGCATTTAGATTGCGTGGTGTACACACTATACACATTTGTGTACGACATGTACAACAATATTATACGTACAGCCCCAACGCATTTGGACTCTACATGTAATATTTTTTCCAAATCAAGTTGGCAATTGAAAGCACACACATGAACCATGCCAAGTTCCAATTCGCTACTCAATTGCAGGCAAGCAGCAGGAGTGTGATTAGCTAAACCTGAAAAGTAACAACATGCCAGAATTAATTTTAATCTTGAAGCGAAACTCTCTCAAAATACAAACTTTAGTTGAGCCAATTACAA